TGACATAATTGGTAAAGATATTTATGAAATTGAATAAATTGAAGAAGATTCAGATGAGAATACTAAAATCTATAATTATCTTAAACTAAATACATATGAGAATTGGGTTAAATATGTTCTTTCTAACATTTCCAGAACACATTATATTCAGCATGTCAGAAAACAAAATAAAAAATATATATTAAATGAAACATACTTATGTCATTGTTCTGGTTGTCTCAGAACTGTAGCTCATACTGTTGTTCAGAATGTTGTATATTTGTTAGGCCATAATAAATCTAGACCAACTCAAAAACTATGAAAGAAAATAGAATATAAATCTTATTTAAGAATATTGAAAAAACATAATAAGAAAAAGATGAAGTTCAAATTGTTCATCATATACTTCACAATAGGCATAACTCTGATATTGATGAAGATTTGCATAACATTTATTTATTTTAATATATAAAAGATTAGATTCAAGAAAAGACAAATGATGAAATGAAACCAATACAAATTGTATTATTATTTTATAATTGTCATGGTTATATGCCAAAGCTACCTGAGCCTGTGATGCAAGCCTGACTTCAGCCTGTGACTCAAGCTTAACTCAAGCCTGTGACCTAAGTCTGACTCAAGCCTGATCCAAGCCTATGACCCAGTCCTGACCCAAGCCCATGACCCAGTCCCAACCCAAGCCTGTGACCTGAGCCCAACTCAAGCCCATGACCCAAACCTGTGACCCAAGCCCATAACTCGAGCCTGACCCAAGACCACAATCCAAACCTGAAACTCAGATCCATCACAAACCCAAGACCCTGTATGCATAAGTAATAAAGTAATAAAGCCTCGCATTAATAATGTAGTCATAACACAATTAGAAGTAGTAATAAAGCTGTGCATTAATAATATAATCATAGTGTAGTTAAAATAGTAATAAAGTTTGCATGAATAATATAATTATAGTTTTGTAATACCTAAGTAAAAATGCAATAGTGATTAGTAATTAGTAAAAGATATAAAAAAGAGAAAATGAAATGTATACTTAGCTCTAGTCTGATCAATACAAATACTTTCTTGCATTTTGCCCAAGCTTCTGATACTGTGCTCTGTCTCCTGTTATATAGTACATGTTCAAAGCGATCCTTGTTCTATAACAATAATCATGTTAACCAACTTTATACAAATAATGACTTGAGTTTCTTATCTTTAACCCAAAAGCATGATGCCTATCTCTCTTATATTAACATCTATAATATTTTTTATGAAGAAATAAAAGATATGATTTATCTAAGCAGTAAAGAAAAGGATTATGGTAAAAGTATGTCTGTTGCTGAATAGATCACCTTATTTTAAGAAGACAGATTATATGTGACAGCAATCTAACTTGAGGTCAAGTTTAGGTTTTTTTTTTTAATTCCAAAATTTAGATATCTGAAATATACTAATATCATTTTCTTATATATTTAGATTTCTTATATGGGTTTCAAACCAAATTTCAAAAAAAATACTTAAATCTAAAAGTTTTAAAACTGTTTGTTTAGATGAAACTTATGGTACAACATTTCATAACATACATCTTTTTACAATAGTTATAAGAGATGATAATGACAGACATGATGTTTCTATAGCATATCTAATTTCAAAAAGAATAATTAGTGAAATATTAATTTATTAACTTAGTTGTATAAGAAATAAAAATGAAGATTGGGAACTATACACCTTTCTTATAGATTACAATGATGCACAACAAAAGACTATTCATAAATTCTTTTCTTATACAAAAATTCTGCTTTGTTAATGACATATAAAAAATGTCTAGTAAAAAAACAAATATAAAATCAAAGCTGAAGGTAACTGCTTTAAGAATTATAATAATAATATTCACAAACAAACTAAAATCAGGTTAGTGATATAAATCAAAGTCAATTAATCTTTTAATTAGTTTAAATTAACAACTAATTAATTAATTAATTAACTATTAATCAATTAATTGATTAGTTATTTATATTTTTAATTAAATTTTTTTAAAACATATTGAATAACTTATAAATTAGTTAATTAATTAATAAATAAACCAAACAACTAATCGATTAATCAATACACTGTTTCATAATATTAAAACAAATAACTCAAAAGACTGTATTAGATAAGTTCAGTAATATAATATGACTTCATAATGTCATACAAGTGCATAAGACACTTGAAAATTATTTTTTTAAATAAACTAATTGTGGTAAATCTAAATGAGTAGAGTATATAAAAAATGAATATTATAATAATTATAAAAAGTGAGTTGATGCTTATTGATTATATAAGTATCAGGAAATGAATATTACAAATTATATTGAATCTTGGCATAAAAAATTCAAGTATACATATCTAAACAAAAAACAAAATCATCAAATTGATATACTAGTTTGAACCTTATATGCTGTTCTAACAGATGTCAAGTTTGAATGTAAAACTGCTAATTTAATGATCAGAAGAATGAAACCATGACAAAAAGAACAAAGATATTGAGAACTTGAAGGATTAAATTTAGAAAGTTATAAAAAATGTCTGATAATTATTGTTTTTTTTGTAAAATTATCTTTGAATAAAAACTATAAAATTAGTATTAAAGACACTATGCAAGATACCACAAATGTAAAGTTTGCAGATTTTGAATGCAATTGCCTAGATTTCAAATTCCATGGAATAGGATGCAAACACATATATTGTGTTTGGCAGAAGTTCTATTTAGTGCAAATACTTGAAGCTTCTTATGCTCAAGAAATTTAGAAAATAGAAGAGCTTAAGCAAATCGTTGATGTATCTTTTAATGATTGGATTAATGCTATTCGAAGTGTTTGGGATAACCATGATCAAGAAGATAGAAATCTTATTACCACTACTGATATGGAAATAATTGTGAGTTCAGGAATAAAAAGAAAATCTAAAATTCCTTTATATGATAATTTTTCTATTCCAGATTCCATGCTAAAAGGAACCAATTATAATATAAAAAAACAATTGAATTAAACATTAAATTCTAACAATAAAATACTGTATCGCAATAAATATGTTCATACGTTTTTTTTTTGATATATGCTATACTACGTGATCTGAAATTTAAAAAAATTCGCAATAGTAAAATATCTTAAATAAAAAAGTTATATATCTAGTGTAAAGTAACTTGTCATTATTTAATGCTGTAGACAATAATTCTTTCGTTTAGAAGGTTTATTATGCGTAAGATACTATATGGATCAAATAATTTAAACTTGGATCTTTAAATATTAAATAACCGGTATTATATGAAATTTATGTAGTTTTGTGTAGTACTTAGCTTTCTCACGGAAATTAAACCATTTATAAATTTTCTTAACGTAATAGTAAGCCCTAATAGAATTTTCTTTGTACGTATCAAGTATTATTAATAGAAAAAGGATGTTAGATCGTTAATACGAATTCATGATCTCGTGATCAATTCTGATTGGCTGTGTATGTAGGACAATGCAGTAGATCATCACAGAACATTACATAATCTGTTGCGCAAATAGATGCACTCCATACATACGTAGGTGCTCATCGATTTGCAGTGACAAGTATAAATCGATAATGACCAGATAACCATTATCGATATAACTCTAGTTAAGTATTGTACTTTCGAAGCATATTCAATCGAAAAACATTTAGGAGGGTTATAAATTCGACAACTGTTAGACACTTAAGGGTTAGCAGATCTTCAATAAGTCAAGTTTTCAACCAATAGAGGGTTTCAAAGTTAACGTGTGGAATCTAATTTTGACAGAATAGATGACGTATTTATTTACAGATGAGCGGCATAGCAACTTTATTTAATTTCCCGATAAATTTGAAATGACGTTGAAAAGTCGTTAAATGGGAATCTTCATTTCATTTTCCGATTTTGAAATTTTTGAAATACAATTAAGATTTTTCAAATTCTCAAAATGTGCCACTCATTTGCTAACGTTGAAAGACTTCCGCCACTTGTAAGAAATCCGTCTATTAAGCCTGAATGATATAAAATATCTTAAGACTTTAATAGAAGAAAAGTCTAAATGATATTTGTATGAGTTACGATTAGAAATGGAACTTTAGTTAGGACATGAAATTAGAAATAATTTGAAGTCTTGTAGTTTCACGTGAGTTTTCATTTATAAATCGATTAGCACCTTCGTACGTACAAGACTTTAGACTATCTTTGTAAATAATAAACATTACATTGATCATGCCGAAATCAATAATTTATCGAATCGGCAGAATAACCATTCGGTTAATTTACATAAGGTGTCCCAGGAATAATGATAACAGCTGTAATATTGCGAGAGTTGCATAAAAACTACAGAACTAAGTGGATGGAAAATCATGTGACTGCCCCCTCGATTATTGGCGACGCTGGTGTTTTTGTAGTCACTAATTTAGCCGGTGAGTTTAAAAATTATTTACAAATCAGTGGAATTAAAATCGGCAGAAAGAAAGTTCACTATTCAAGTTCATAAATGCTTATTTTAACATTACATACAAATCATTTCATTCGCATTAATTTAGCCGTTGAGTATAAAAATTATTTTTAATCAGTAGAATTAAAAGTCGACAAAACAAGTTCATGAGTCAATATTATAAACACCCACTACCACTACATAAATCATTTAAGTAAAAATTAATTGGTGGAACTATCAGCAAAGTCACAATAAGGTTGGTCAGTGAGTAAAAAGATCGGCGAAATTAAAATTGACAAAAAAAATATTTCATTTATTAATCGGGAGAATTAAATTGGCAAATCACAATCCAACTATACAATAACTTAGCCGATGCACAGCATTGCTTTAGTTATATGTTTATCTATAGAGGATTTCTATTGGCTGATATATTAAAAAAAAAATTAGATTTCTACTTTATTGACCTGGCTGGGATATGAAAACCAATTTTATAAATTTGTATGGCCTAAATATATAAAAATATTTTATCTATTGATAGATAAGTTTCCATGTGATGAAAAAAAGTGCCGATTAACTGTCTCTACAAGTCAAACTGTGAGTGACCGGATCCTCCCTACATTTCAGGCCATCTTGACATTCTTGATGCGCACAATCTTCACCAATTCCTTGCTCACCGCAACCACGAAATAGCGCCTTGAAAAAATTACAACGTTTCACGAGGGGGAAAGATTGATCTATCGATGAAATTTCAATCAAGCATTAAATATGAGAAACTGGAATATTTTACGAGAAAAATTTAATATAAAATAAATGGGAAAGAATTGATATTAACCTTCATGAGCAGGTAACGCATGAACCAGCATATTACAGACGATAAAATAGATAATGAGAAGCCAAAGAAAAGATTTCATCGCTTTGTAAAGTAGGATGGTAAGGTAATCTATATGCGTTAAAAATCAGTGGTAAACCCAAATTTCCTGTTATCCAGAACAGAAGAAAATCTTTGTACAAGTTAATTTTTAAGGAATAAAGAGCGTGATATAAAAACGGAAATAATTTTTTTCAAAACTAAGTTTATTTTCAAGCTTCCAGAGCTGAGTTATCAACGATTCAAACAGACGTTATATATATAGAAAATTTCAGACTAATTAATTTATGTCTCATTTTTTAAATTCCTGCTTTCAGCAAAGTTCGTGATGTTGATTGAGTAATAATTGGTTTGGTTTTTTTGAGCATATCAAACGCGCAATTAATTATCTATGAATTTTTGATTGAAATTTCGGATGTAATGTCAATTCGTGCAGGAGAGTATTTGATCGTTATTCGAGTCTGTAATTGATTAATACTGTAATAATCGATAAACTCCAATTAATTTTTTATTTCTGTATTTGATTTCAAACTAGTGATCCAAATCGTTAGTTGAAAAATCCAACTTTCTAACCAATCGACTTAGAAAATTTTGAAACAACTAATCGATTAAATCATCAGCCAGTTAAATTCTGAGATGGAGTTCCTATCCATTATCCGTTTATCCATTTATCTATTATCTGAGTTTATCATTATCCGGATATCAATAATAAATGGAAATCTAGATAAATTCAAATATGAGTGCGTGAGTGAAAATCAGGAAATACATTTAATGTTTTATTACAGGTTTTCACTCTCATGCACTCATATGGATAAATGGATGACGGATTGTAACTATATTCCGTCTATTCGTGTTGATTGTTTTGCTGATCAACAAATTTAATCACATAATATGAAATCGATTGGTTGCAACTAGTGTTCCGAGTTGATAAAAATTTTTTCAATCGATTAGTTGCAACTATAGATAGGGGAGAAATTATCATCCTTAATAAAAGTCTTGTTGAAATTGTTGAAATTATTTGATGATGAAATTATTTTTTCAATATTAAAAATTAATTTAAATTATTTTTTCAATATTAAAAATTAATTTAAATTATTTTTTCAATATTAAAAATTAATTTAAATTATGCCAAAAATTAATTAAACCTAAGCTAATCAAATACAATAGTTTTAAATTTAATTTATAGAAATATTTAAATTATCGAAATTATTGTTGAAATTATTGTTGAAATTAAAAAAATTTAAATAAATTTCACCCCCACCTAGAGGCTTGCATTGGGTCCCGCAGCCCGGCCCGGCCCGCAAATTCTTGCAGGCCGGGCCACAAAAATAATCGATTTTTCCTATCATGTGACTAAATTTGTTGATTGACCAATCAACTAAAAAAATCAACACCAATAGATGGAATATCTCAGAATATAGTTATGAGTGCACGAGAGTGAAAACCTGTAACAAATCATAATAAAACATTAAATGTATTTCCTGATTTTCACTCACGCACTCATATTTGAATTTATCTAGATTTTCATTTATTATTGATATCCGGATAATGATAAATTCCGATAATAGATAAATGGATAAACGGATAATGGATAGGAACTCTATCTCAGAATTTAACTAGCTGATGATTTAATTGATTAGTTGTTTCAAATTTTTCCAAATCGATTAGTTGGAAAGTTGTCAACTAGTTGGTTTTTCAACTAATGATTTGGATCACTAGATATCGATATTAATTTAGCGCATGCATGCTGTAACCAATCATAATAAAACATTAAATGTATTTCCTGATTTTCACTCTTACGCACTCAGATCTGGATAAACCGACAAATACTGTATTCGGATAATTATCCGGATATCAGTAGTAAAACGGATATCCGAATAGATTCAGATCTGGATATCCAATAGATAAATGGATAAACTGATAATGTATAGGAACTCTATCTCAGAATTTAACTAATCGATTAGTTGTTTCAACATTTTACAAATCGATTAGTTGGAAAGTTGCCAACTAGTTGATTTTTCAACTAACGATTTGGATCACTAGTTGCAACTATAGTTAACAACTAATCGATCGGAAAAATTTTTTACCAACTTAGAGCACGTCTGAAACCTGACAGGTCATGTCGATCATCAAATTGAATATCAGAATTAAGCGCAGGCTTTAATTTATTTGATATTCAATATTTAAATGTACTCATGTAACTAAAATTTCGTGTCAAAATCGTTTATTTAGAAAATCTTGAGTCATTTACGGTTTTTATGTTTTCTCGAATTTTTTAAGTTACACTTTATTTTGTGATTTTATTGGCTAAAATCAACTCCCCCAGTATCACCGTCAAAAAGAGTATTGTGCTTAGACATGGCTTGTCAGTTCGAATATTTATTATGAGCGATTACTTTAGAGAATTGCTATTTCCACCCCTCATTTTTGCTAATCTCACTTCCCTAAATACAATAAAGTGCCCGGAAGAGATACAATTATTAAGCAAATCTCTTGGTTTGTATTAATCAAAGTTGTTTATTAGGTATTTCCGGTTCTAATGGTGGTAAAATCATTAAGATCGGACCGGTAGTTCTTAAAATATTTGTACCTAAATTTTATAATCTTTAATCCACTTAAAAAAATATCTACCGGTCTGATTTTAATAATTTTACCACCATTAGAACCGGAAAGGTCTATTAAACAATTTTAATTAATACTAAAAAAGAGGTTTACTTAAAAATAATATCTCTTTCAGAACACTTTTATGTATTTTGAAGGGTGGCATTAGCAAAAATTAGGAGGGTGGAAATAGCAACACTCTTACTTTAATATGAATCAATTTTATTTATTTCGCAAAATACAAAATAATCAAAGACTTTGATTACAAGAAATTGTTCTAAGTCTAAAACAACTGTAATTGACCGAATTGCATAAAAAAATCATATTTCAAAAGAAAAATCCACGGTATTTTATAAAATATTATACTAAACTGTTCCTTATAATAAAAATGAATAATATCGAAAATGTAATTTAAAAAAATTGCATGACAAAGCGTACAGTTAAAAAAAAACGAATATAAGATAGTTACTATTATTGCAAATAGCGAGTATTATTTGTATGATCTTTCCATGTCAATGGCATTGTCCTTTTTCTTTGATACTTTCCGATATCATCAACTAATTTAAAAATTGAGTTGAAAGATTTTTTATAGCTCTACACCATTTGGTATTACCAATTAATTTTTTCAAATTATCGAAAATATCTTTCTCTACTGGTTTCTCAACTGGTTCATCAACCAGTTCTTTGACTGATTTATCATTATTACTGTTAAGATCGTAAATCTCTTTATCGATATTTTTCATAAGAGGTGGTAGATCATTTTCAATTAGAAAAGGAGGTTGCGAAATTCTTTTTAGGCCTCCGTATAAGTCTAACATCATCACCTTAAAAAATTTCTCCAACTATGTGATCTTATTGAAAACATTGGCTCGCAATTAGTTTAGGGTTAGGGTCCCACCAGTAGGTTCATGTTTGGTTTAAGGGGTTGTAGTAAAATTTCACGAAGAAAATTCTTTGTTAGTACGAGCGTTTTTTTGTTGTTTGCAATTTTTTTTTCGTTACATGAGATCTTGAAATCTGATTGGGCAGCGAAGTTTTTTGATTGGTGATTAGGCCTCTGCATGGCCATAGTTATCTGTGGTAGTGATTTGAATCGGTTGGGCTATAATCGGTTAACCGACCCGAACCGAATAAATTCGGGTAACCGGATGAGTAAATTCTTAATCGGTTGACCCGTACAACCGGTTGAGAATCGTACAGAATGTAAAAGACATCAGGAATGAGCGAAGATTCTGAAAAGAAAATAAGTGAACATAAAAGACGAGCAAGCTGGAGACAAAATTTGAGTAAAGGTCCGAGACTTTCCGAAGGTAAAGTGTGAAGTAATCTTAACCGGTTGCAATCGGTTGCCATAAAATATTTCGGTTCGGTTAACCGATTAAGAAATTTTTTCTCGGTTCAAATCGCTACTCAGAACACTAGCCATAGGGTAAGGGCTTAAAAGTCAAGCCCTTACACAAATGGGTAGGGCTAGGGTACTGCTACTATTTTACTACAGCATTTTACTATTTTTTTTTCTATTGGTTTATAAATTTTTAGCATTATACTTTATTAATTAAATATAAAAATATTTTACTTCTAACAATATATATTCAAATAATTACAAATTATTAATAAGAATATTTTTTTTAATATGAAGATAAAGAATTAAGCTTTGTTCTATTTGCCAACACTGGTTATTATATATTAGCAATACTTTTATTATAGTTATGTAAAAAAAAAAAATTGAAACTTTAATTTCTTAAAATAAAAAGTATTGCTAATATAAGTAATATAGTAGTAAAATAGCAGTAGGCATATTGCTATCTTATATTTTATGTAAAACAATAGTTATTTTTTATTAATTTATTAAGGCAGATGTTTTATAGCAGCTAATGTCTTTATTTGTATTTTTAGTTAATATATTACATATTACTTGTACAGAGTAAGTGTGTAATTAGTTATATATAGAACTTTTAATTACTTATTTAAATAGTCCATCTGTAGGTTCTATATTAGCTGTTATATTTATAATCTACTAGAAGATTATCTATTTAAATACTCTGATCTTTATACTGTATCTAGGCAGTAGTTATCATAATTCTCATATCTTTTTGTATGTTTGTTAAGTCATTACCTAATTTTAAAGCATAACATTTAATTGTAAGGTTCAGAAACCTTTTTGTTAATTAATTTACCATTCTATAAATTATTAATAAGATTAACTTTTATAGAATCATTCAGATTTTAGCACCTATTTTACAACATATTTTTAGTATTTTTAGTATACTTCTGTCTTTTCTTCAAACTCTTAATTCAGATAACCTAATAGGATTATAATCAATCTATTGATATATATAAAAGATTAGTCAGATATCTTTTTTCTTTAGTCTTCTTGGTTAGAATTCTAACAGCCTAATTGATAATATTCTTCACTTAGAGATTTTTGTCTATTTAGATATTTTATGTTGATTTCTGTTTTTTAGATCTAGTCTTTATAATAATATTATCAAAAATCTGTATTACTTCTCTACTTGAGTTTTTTTAAATGAGTTTTTTGTTTTCAATTTTTATAAATTTATATGATTACAAGGACTTATTTTGGGTTTATACTATCTAATACTGGTTTGCATTTTTCTGTATAACTAATTACATAGATGTCTTATAATCTGTTAATCATACTAATATAATCAAATTATAGATATCTTAACCTAATTATTAGAAACAGTTATTATAATACAAGTATTATATAGATAATTGATCAAATTTTCACTATTAGTAAATTTTGAACTCACAACCTATTACTTAAGAGGTTGACAACTTATTTATTTACTAAGTTACTACATTTCTAAAAAAAAACTAGTTACTATAAATAACTATATTGTTTTTTTATGCAGAGGTCTTTAACAGCTACCCTACCTCATTTAGTATATTGAAAGTGTATTGGAGTTAGTAATGAACTATGCATAGGATTTTTTGGATCCTACATAGGATTTTTAATATGAGATTATTTGGCCTGCATTAACATATCATCTGGCTTGCATTAAATATCATCTGACCTGCATTAAATATCATCTGACCTGCATTAATGTTAATGAACCAATTTCTAAGACTGAGTAAAATTACCATCTAAAAAAGTTTCAAACATCATGTAACAGCATTAAAAATTCATGTAACTTAACAAAAAAATACAAACAAAAAATTTAAAAGATAAGTAATAAATTAATTATTTTATTTATTTTGAATAACTCAATAAACGTATTATTTATTATCACAAGGTTTAAATTGGTGAAAAATGATTTTTTACATGAATTTTTAGTGCTTGATATATTTCTCATGTGATGTCCGAAACTTTTTTGGATGGCTGTTTTACCTCATTCTGTATTTCTACGTATGCAGAATTTTTTATTTGTTTGTCATTCTATATATATGCGTATACTTGGTAAAATTTTTTTTTGATCATTGTTAGTTCTTACTTACTATTCCTTTATAATAAATATAACCATTATTAAGTCATTCTTTAAACAACATTATTATAACATGGGTGTTAATAAACCGATTTGACATCATTTTGAAATGCCAAATGTATTTAAAATATATTATTTTAACAAGAAATTATATTTCTAGTGATTATCTTTATATATATTTTTAGGGTATCGCAATAGTGATGCATCGCTACCCTGATCGACCAATTAGAATGCAAGATCAAGTGTAACGTGAAATCGAAGCAAAACATTGTTTTTTTGAATAGGCGAAAAATTATAAAATCCATATTTTTATAATCATGAAAAATTAAAAAATTTTACTATATTCCGCAAATCCCGCGCGGCGGGTTTTTTTAAAAAACTGCGATTTGCTATCACTAATCGGGTACGTCGATATAACCCAGGTTTGCATAAGGATAGCATCTTCCTGCATAGCAAATACAAAGTAAAGTTTTCAATTAAATAATATAATTGGAAATTTACTTTGTATTTGCAATGCAGGAAGAGGCTCTCCTTATGCAAACCCGGGCTATACTCGACGTATCTCCGACGCACTTTCTACGTACTAAACAAAGTAGGGCAATCTCTGCTGTTATTTTATAGTTAATTGCAAGTAGCATTAAAGTTGCAAATTTGCATACTTCAATAGAGTATAATCATCACAAATTTGCGAATTTGTCATTAGCGGGTTTATACCCATTTTAGAATCCAGATTAGTGCATTAAAGAATTGAATTATTATTATTGGTTTTATATTTATTTTTATAGTTGTTTATTTATTTTGAAATAATACGTAATAATAATAATAATAATAATAAATGGTAACACTGTGGCTCTGGTTATTATTGCGAGTCGTATCGTACACAAATTAAAAGCACAGAAACCATTTTTAAGAACTCAGATTGTCGAATAGAGATACAGCAAATTATATCTTTAAGACCACACAAACTTATTCGTACATTTGGGTTTAATACCGCTTGATTTTCTGTGACACGCCACAATAAAAATGTTTTAATGGCTCATGATCATGTAGTAAATCTGTTTCGTGCATTAAAAATATTAGATTTCAACTTAGCAATTAAAGGAAAAGCTGTGATAGTTGATAAATGGTTTATATGAAATAAACCGGTCAATACAACTGTACAATTTACTGTTCTTACATTTTCGGTCATAAATGGTTGGATTAAATTATGAAATTTTAATAATCACTAAATCAAAAAATTTCGCCCATATGTACAGTCTTATTGACACAGCATTAACCTTACCGAGTAGTGATATTAGCGGCCTAGTTTTGTCTATTCTGGCCCTGTCTTTATGGATTAATATTTTTAATATTTAAGCAATCCAGACCGGTCCAGACTGGTCCGGCCTTAAGACTGGAAGCAGGCTAATTTTTTTTTGTTTCAAGCCGGTATTAAGACAATTATGGTTTGTTTTGTCGGTTTAGACCAGACTACCTACTTATTGAATAACAGTGTGGTCAATATTAGAACTAGGGTTAAGTGGTAGGTCAGATTCTAGGATGATCATAAGTCTGAGTGACTGATGTAAATCAATTTCTCGAGTAGCTAATTTATGTTTTATAGTACTTTTTTAAGAACATGATGCAAAAAAAGTCTCATATACTATGTCTATCAGACCGTACAAAATAATTATGATTTGATTGTATAGCCAACCATTTAAAAGTCACTCTGGAATGTTTTTGCCAGTGATTATTTTATCAAGTCGTATTCAAAACAACAGTCTGGTTTGGAAATTTATAATGCCATAGTACTGTCAACCCATAGTACTATCAACGTACAATAAACTCTCCATTCAAAAAGCTTCTTTTGAATTATAACATGTAACAAAAATTAAAATATTTCTAATAATTTATTTATTTTTTAGAACTTAAAAAGTTCGGATTGAGTTTTTCTGCGAATATAAACTTGTCAGTGATAACCAACTCGGGTTCAATACGTTAATTTATTTGTTATGTTCTTATAGTATGTCCGAGTCCATTGATCATAGATAAAGGTTTAATATATAGATATAGGTTTAATATATAGATATTATACTACAATGCGAGTTTAGTAATAAGGGTATCCACAATTTACGTATTATTATAGGGATCTTTAAATATAATACAAACATTATACTATATGCCATTACCTTCAACCTTATTTTTATACAAAACAGTACTAATTTAACGTAAATTGTGGATGTCGCCTAAATTCTATTTTCATATTATGCTATATTCGCCTGTTTCCTGGTATTCATATATATATAATTTGCGTGTATTTGCCAATTTATCGATTTATGCGAACTTTTCCCAAATTTTTCAAATCAAACCTCAGCCTATGAAAACAAACCTCTACGCGTAATAGTAATAATTATTATTTATTTATGTTTTTTATATCTCTCTTACATTATACTGTATAATGCTAATGTGAAGTTCAACATGCAAACCTCAAAACAAAAGTTAGTAAGTGTTAGAAAAGGAACTGGGAGCTCATCGTGGCCACAGATTGCGAAAGTTACCAGTCAAGTAATCAGATTTGTGAACGTTCTTTCTTTTCTAGCTAACCGAAAGCATCTTTGTGTGAAAATGTTAACGACTATAGGGATAAAATTACGTCCCATCTTGTAAGAGAAAAAAAGGTGATAAACCATGTTTTTAGATTTTATGAAATTTTATGAGTAGGATCTGCTGATTAGCACAAGTAAAATGTTTATTAATGGGGAATTTCCATATTGCTGCCAAATTTTGGCGCAAGAAGAGGTCAATAGGTGCCAATAGGGTACCAAGGAACAATAGGTTTTTACTTATTGGAAGCTATTTAATCAATAGTTACCAATCGGAGCCAACAGACACCAATAGGTACAAATAGGGTATTTCTGATCTATCTGTGCATGCCCCAAAAAACTTTGATTGAACACAGGTCGTATTTATTAAAAACTTTAAGGTTAGCTAAGCTTTTCAATTTCATGATTAGATAAAGCGTTCGTATGTGGGTTTACTAAATATACGCTAAACGTTATGGTACATATTGCTAATTATTGCCGATTGGGTGAGTTTATTTAAACAAAGGAAAGCATATAGGGATACTAGAATTCTATGATTAATTGAAGAGTAAACTGTTACAGATCTTGTGGAGATGCCGATTCTAACTTACCAATTATCTACCGATTGAATTCCCAATTAAAAAAAAAATAAACAGAATCCGATCGAAAAAAAGAACCTAATTGATTCCAGATTGATCCTATTGGAGCCAAAATTCGTAAGCAATAGGGAACTACTGTCAACTATGGATATAACGGAAATCTGGGCTGACCAAAAATTATGTTATATAGCATATTCGTTATACCATATAACCTATGAAATTTTTTTTGCATTCTTACTGGTTGCAAGTTGTTGCATTATATTGAATTCGTTATATAGATTAGCATTTTATAATAAAATCGGTATATGGGCCGGCAAAGAGTTCAGTCATATGTAATATGGCTTTTTTACTATCAAATCCGTTATAACCATTATAAATTATATATTAAAAATTTGGTACTTCAAATTTGGTCCGTTAAACTGGTAAGGGTGTCCGTTATATCCATAGTTGACAGTATAAAACGCCTCTAAGCTCACCACTAATGATGCATCAGAACGGCGCACGTCCATGTGACAGGTTAAGCCACTAATTTCAATCACCATCTGATTATATTCCCAGAGCAAGACTTGACTATCATAAACTATAAAAAAAATCAATAAATTTAAAAGTTGTCTTTTGATATTAACTAACCAAATATTATATAAAAAATAAAAACTTCTTAAAATTAAAATAGCGAATACCACATAAGTATTTCACTAGTATATTATGATTAAGCAAAGAAAACAATATATCGTTTCTTTAACCGTGCTATTGTTCAACACATTCTTATTTAAAAGATACTTTTTTACTTAATTCTACCTCTTTCGAATGAAGACAACTCAAAGAGCTGAATTCTCCTTTCTTCCATATCATTTATTTGTGAACTCATATTCTCGTAGCACTTTTGATTGAACAGTCGCGACTAAAATCATAAAGTAAAACATTCGTGAGATTTTATTTTTGTTACATTTTTTACACTGATCTTTGAATTTATCTAATACGGTCATAGTGTCGACTTAATATTTTGACAGTTTGAATTAATAACTAAAAATGAAGTGATGCCGGAAATAACGTTCTCATCCATTTTCTTAATTCCGTTTTATTAACTCTTTTTAAAAAAATATATCCAAATTTGCATATCCTGTGAGGCATCTGAAGGACCTTTCATACTAATTTTTTTTAATAAAGTTTATTAAAAAATTGGTTCTCTTTTACAGTAAGTCTTATTAGAAATCGATAGGTTTTTCAAACCTTTAATTTGCACAATTTATTCATGTTAGATAAAAAAAAAAAGGTAATTTATAATATCGCAAAAAAATAAAGAATAACCAAATACGATCAAGTTGTTTTTTATACATTCAGCTTTAACTTCGCCTTTTCAAATCATTAAATACTATAGCTTTTCATCATGATTTAAGGCATAGTTGGACGTTGATTGAAATCAATAGCTTAACCTGTCACAGATTACGAATGTGCCCTTACGGCACATTGGGATTATAGTTGTTAGGCGAAACTGTTTTTCGCAAATGACGAAACACGAAACTGGCGAAACTCCGATGAATGTCGAAACCCTTGGTGAATGACGAAACCCCTGACAAATGATGAAGCCTCTGAAGAAAGACAAAGTCCAAGCTCTCAGTAAGTTTAAATTCTCTAAGATTTTGGAAAAGACTGAGTCATGTTGGAGAATGAAATACTTGCATATGGTTTGTATAAAGAAATGTACTTAAATCATCTCTATTATTACTATTATTATTTTTTTTTTGAACTTTGGTAACAATGTCAGTTGGTTTATTAGTTTTAATTTGATATAGTACAAATTTATAGTTACATTTTTTAGGATTGATTATTACTAGTACTATATATTATCTAATTTTACATCACTGACTTTACCTAGTTATCTTATGACATCTAAGTGCATGTCTGCTGCATGTTTGTATGCAGTTATCTTAATAATCACTTGCAATCAGGGCATATTATTAAACTGTTATATAGACAAGGATGCCTATCAAATTTAATATGATATTCTGAATGTTAAGGGTATTTTTTTTTGTAAATTGTACCTATATGTTCCACTTATATGTTTTTAATTGGTCTTGTTTCTTCTGTTTCTTAATCTAACTATATTTAGTATTATTTTGTTTCTTACATTTGTCACTATATCATTCCCAAATTGGTCTTACTTGAATATATTTGATTCTTATGATTAATATACCTGTTATTGATTCTCTTAAAGTGTTTCAATAATGGTCTAAGATCTGCAATGAATCTGTATCTCAAATTAGATCTGTTGTTACTATTGGTTTTTTGATCAATCTGTATTTCAAGTCAGGCTTGTTACTGTTGTTCTTACAGATGCCTTAGGTTTTAATGTTATACAGTAATTCAGTGTTACATTTAATCTTCAACATGATATTTTTTTCTATAGTAATGTTACAAGGTTGTAGCCTTCTTGGTACAATATAATCAAATAACAAGGTTACTCAGTACAGTGATTGACTATTACAAATATATACAGGGTAGAGGTGTAGTAGTTCACTTTACTATACAGCAGCAGGCAAATGGTTCAAGTTAGTAACAGTATATAGATTAATTTTATTAACTAAACATATAATGATAACCTTGTCTGTAGGAATTATTCTAGAGGATGAATATCATTTTTACAAATTAGGAATAAAGATAGAAGAGTCTAGGTTGAAGTATAGGAACTTAGAATTGACAGAAAAAAGTAAAAGGTATCCTTTATATATCTTTTTATCTAGTGAAGATAGTAGAGATTCAAGTAACATTACTTGATACTGTATTCAGTATAATAAGAGTTCGAACAACATTAGATATCATTGTACTTAGAATAATGGAAGTTTGAACAACATTAAATGATATTGTGCTTAGAGTAGTGGAGACTGTACAGAGACAACTTGAAATATTGTTTATATCATTTATTATTCATGCTTAAAACACTTGGGGCTTGTGTTTAGGCACTTGGATCTATGTAAAGACATTTGGAATTTGTGTAAAGATACTTGAGATTCATGTATGGACATTTGGGGTTCATGTCAGAGATACTTGGGATTTTTGTATTGTAGTATTTGATATAATAATTTGGTGTTAGAATATATAAAACTTGTATAAGAGTATTTGGAGTTTGTAAGACAATAGTAACATCATAGATGTTACTCAGTGTTATGTGGTTGTACCATATTTCTAATAGCTAATTAAGATCCTTTTATCTATCTACTATATAATATAACTATTGACTAACTAATAACTAATAACTAATAATAAATATAAGATATAAAATACAATACTGAATATATAAATATAACTACTAATACTATTATATAATATACTATATTAAAATCTACTTTGTAATAGTAGGAACTGAGACTTGTTACACTTATAAACAGAACAATTCTGGTTATATCTAGAGAGTTCCTCTAACTCTAGTAATACCATACTACCATATATTACAAGTTTCTAGCTTATTCAATAATACCTGTAAAACAATTCTGGTTATATTCCAAGAAGTTACACTAACCTCAGTAATATCATATTATTTTGCAGATCTTATCTTACATTGTTTAGTTAATCCCAGTCTTGTTTGTTATAAACTTCCATATAGATATAATTAGGAATCTGATTTAGTACTTTTATATTGTATAAAAATATTATATGTCAACTTTCAAAATTTTCTTTTCTATAATTAGATTATTTGGTTGTGTCAAAGGTGTTTCTAATTTTGGTTAGACCAATCCTTTATTACAGCCCATTCTCATGTTCACTGCTTTTTTCACCATTCCAGTCTTGGTTATTTTTAGAATATTTTTTCAATCAAATTCTCTTCTTAAATCCTAATTAAGACTTATTTACACAATCTATTAATTATCTTTTTAAGTAAGTACCCTATAAGTTGGATACAAGGATGTTGGTACTGCCTATATTAGGAGGTATAAGGATGTTAGTGCTGTCCTAGTCTAAAGAACTTATATGTACAATTTTTCTATAATTATAATCTTCTGTAACAACTGTTTGTTATACATAGTGCCTATACTTTATGATTAAGTCTCTTTTTGAGAATTTTTATTTTTATAATTATATTGTACTTGAACTTAACCACAGAGTTTTGCATTCAATTACAGGCTTCTTATTAGGTTACAGAAGCTAAAATCTTTTAATTTTGCCTCCAACTGAACTTGAACCATTGACCTTAACTATAGAGAGTATAGAAGCTTAACTGCTAAGCTATGGGACCCACACCTTATTATTAATTTAGTTTATTTAACTAAAACTATATAGAAAAAATTTTGTCTAGGACATTATAAAGTCATCAAATTAGAACACTGATAGTCTCAAAACAGGATTTGAACAGTTTTTCAATCTTTTGATATTGGTAAATGAAAATATTTACATAATTATTAAGTATAATATATAGTTCAGATAAAGAAATATACTCAAGTTATAAATATTTGAATGTAGTTGTTAGGCACAACATGTAATTTTATAAAGAAAATATCTAAGCCATGCTAATAAATAAAAATATTTGCATATATTGTAACTATTAAGTACAGTATGTGACTCATACAAAAAAGTCATATTGAATTAAATATTTATATATAACTATTAAGAACAATATATAGTTAATATAAAGAAATGTATCTAAGTCATGTTGGTTAGTAAATATTTGCATATAATTATTAAGTACAATATGAGCTTATATAAAAAATATACAAAAGTAAAAAAAAAAATAGTTTTATGTTTTGTTTGAATACTTTTAAAAGAAAATTAAATTTTAGGTTTTTGAACTTATAATCAAATTAACTTCAAAAATTCTAAGTGTGAAATCTTATTTTTTTAAAAAATACTTATTTATATATTAATACTATTTATATAAAAATATTTTAAGATTTTTTATTAAATTGTTTAAATAAATTAATATTACTTATATAAATACTTAAGATTTTTTTACTTAATTATTTAAATAAATTTGATTATTAAATTAATAAAGATTTTTTAATGTTTTTTGTCTAAATTTTAAATATAATATATATATAAATAGTTTATTAATATTATTATTACTAACAATTATTTATTGATAAATCTTAGAATTAATTTTAATTGTTAAGAAAATAATTGTTATGTTATTAATTTA